CTTTTGCTTCGAAAAATTCGTCAATCGCAGGTCAAAGCGGACGTGCAGATAAGCGATCGGCGACGGGCAGCGCAGCGCAGCGCCGCATCACTTTTGCAATCTTCTCTTTTGCTTTGCTTTTTGTTTTTGTCACATTCGCAGCAGCTGCACAATTTGTCGCCTGTCAGTCGTGGGTGGGGGTGGGGTAGTCGACTGCTCTTTGCTTTTGTCTTTTGCGGGAATTTGCCAGGGAATATTTTTGTACAGAGTAGCCCGCAGTCGCAACACTGAAACTTTTCCACTCCTCTCCTTCGCTGGTAGTTTTGGGATTTTCTATATACATTTTGTGGCGTGTTTACACTCGTTCTTTATGCTTTTATAACTTTATTTTGCCAGGCCAAACATTTGCGGGGGTGGGGGTGGGTACACCGCCCCCCTGCCCTCCGCACCGAGATACAAATTACAATTGCGGCGCGTAAAGAAATTAAAAAAGGATTTCTGTGTCAGGGATTGCCTTTGGCATTAGACCTGGATCTGAGACCTTTTGCCCTTGCGTTGTACGCCGTGCATATATATATTATATATTATTTATTTATACCTTTTTACCCTCCCCCCATTAATGCAAATATTTTACCTTGCTCTCTTTACAGACAGCCCCCGCCCCCCCGTCTCTCTCTGGAGCGGCCTGATTCGTTCGTGCGCTCTTTTCTGCTAATTGCTTTGGGTGTGTGTCCGCTCTCTTTTCACCGTTCTTTTTCTTGCTGTTCTCCCACCAAGCAGGCTCCACACTCAAGGCTCCTAAAAGGCTCTCAAGGTTAGTATTATACCTACTATTTACTCTCTATATACAGGGGTGGTCAAAAGTATTTACACAACGAGTTTTTTTTTGCATGTTCAATTTCAGGAGCTTTTCCTGTGGTTGTTGAAAGCTAAATAAAAAAAAAAACTTTTAGGCCAAAAAGATTGATCTACTAGCAATTGAATGAGAGAAGAATTGGAAAAATAACTGTTAATGGGCTAAAAATAGAAGCATGTGAACTGTTGTCAAAAGTATTTACACAAATTTGCATTGCTTCAGAAGTATTTACACAATGCAAATTAGAGCTTATTCTTAGACTTGGTTTGACTTAGTGCAGTCGTTTTTTCGTTTATTGCAGTTGCAATAAGTAAATTTAATTTAAAATTTAAAATTAACTTAGTAAAATGGTGAAGACAAAGGAGTTGTCTGTTGAAACTCGATCCGAGATCGTTACAAAATTTAAAAGCGGGGTTTCAGCGTCGGAACTGGCCAAAACATACAAAATTTGTAGAAAAACCGTTTATAATCTGGAAAAGAAAAAGGACACGAATGGAAATTTACAGAATTTAAAAAGATGTGGAAGGAAACAAGCGATGGATGAACGGGAATGTAGACGTTTAATTGGCATAGTCGATAAAAATCCGTCGATAAGCCCAGTTAAATTGTCTGCAGATTCGCAACAATTGATTGGCAAAAAAGTCTGTGATGCTACAATACGTCGGAGATTGAAGGAGATCGACATACGAACGTATACAGTGCGAAAAATAATAGAAATTTCCGAGGCAAATAAAGCAAAACGCCTCTCATTCGCATTGGAATACGTTAAAAAACCAAAGGAGTTTTGGTACAATGTTTTATGGACAGATGAAGTAGCTTTCCAGTTCCAAGGCTCATTCTGTAAAAGATTTATGCATCTACGACAAGCAAAAAAACAAAGTGCAGTGCAACCATTAAACAGATTTGGTGGAGGCACAGTGATGTTCTGGGGGTGCATGTCTTACTACGGATTTGGAGACTTTGTTCCAATAGAAGGCACTCTGAATCAGACCCGGTATCTTGTTATACTGAATGAACATGCTTTTGTGTCTGGTGACAGGCTATTTCCCATCTCCGACTGGATTTTACAGCAAGACAATGCTCCATGCCACAAGGGATCGGCACCTACAAAATTTTTACGAGATCTCAATGTGGCTGTTCTTCCCTGGCCTGCGCAGAGCCCTGATCTCAATATCATAGAAAATGTTTGGTCGCTTATTAAAGGACAAAGAACAATTGATAAAAACCGAAAACGCGACGTTACCATCGAGGAAGTAAAGGAAATTTGGTCGAAATTGGAACTTGGATATGCTCGCCACTTAGTGGAATCAGTACCAGCCAGGTTGCAAGCAGTTATTGATGCCAAAGGTGGAATTACAAAATATTAATCATTATTATTATTATTCATCCAACAAATTAAAAAAAAAATCATTAAATCATAATAAAAAATTAACTTAAAGTTTTGTGTAAATACTTCTGCAGCATTAAAAGTGTGTGTAAATAATTTTGACAACTGATAAGCATCACTTAATTTGCTTCTCCTTATTCGTACAAACAGTTATCTTTTCCAATTCTTCTCTCATTCAATTGCTAGTAGATCAATCTTTTTGGCCTAAAAGTTTTTTTTTTTATTTAGCTTTCAACAACCACAGGAAAAGCTCCTGAAATTGAACATGCAAAAAAAAACTCGTTGTGTAAATACTTTTGACCACCCCTGTATATGTATATATTGTAATTTGTATTCTTTTTGTGTGCCCGAAGAGAGGGATATCCGTGCCGTACCTTTCGCAGCAATTGGATTTATTTTTCGATGGGCGGGGGGAAGGGGTGGGGCGGGTTTAATTGCCAGCTTTGGACAGATTTCTAATTACTGACTACTGAAGCGCAACCCAAAAGGTCATTGAGACATTTACATGCTGTGCAAATATGTACCAACAAAATAACAGAGAATATTTAAATTGAAATTAAGATACGTTTAGGGGAAAACTGATGCCAAAAGGTGCCCAACGAGGAAAGGCAGGAAAATGTCAAAAGAAAATGAAAGTTTGGGTCAAGACTTAAGTGAGGTATTAATTGTTTTGATAATGATACTGTCTTTAAGCGAAATCTTATCCCAGAAAATAGAAAGTCCATTGAGATCAATAAATGGGCTAAGGGAAACCAGTTTTTGTATAGTTTTTAGGACTGTGATGGATTCTGTTCTCTATATTTTCACTTTTTGTGACGAATTTTAATACGACTGCGGTCCATCCATTGCGCTTTTAATTTTTTGCTTATTTTTCTAAATTTAACCTAAATAAAAAATAATATTTTTTATGGTTTCAATTATTGCAAACAAAATGCTTTTTAGCTCAAATTTTAATCTGAAAAAAATCATTGAAAAAATATTTTCTTTGAATTTGATAGATTTGGAACATTTCAAAAATCTTACTGAAAATATTTAGTAGCTTAGAGGAAATATTGCGGTATTTTTTTATATTTTTCTTAAAATAAATTAAAGAAAACAATAAAATGTAATATTTTTTTAAAATATGTTTGGGTTTTAACCACAATAAATGGTATTCGATACAAGAAAAGTGAATTTGGAATAAAATATAAGGTTTCTGTCTTGAATTCTCATTGGAAATAATACTACAGGTGCCTCTGTACCTCCTGTTCTGTCATCAATTACTAGATCTATTGTATTTTATGCCCAAGAGCTCAATATCTCCTGGAAGCTTATTTATCGGAACTATTTCCCCGTCACAAAGTAAAGGACTTTCCCAGTAAGACATCCCTTGTCTTGGAATCTCTTTTGGCCCTGGAAACTTCCCTGGTGTACTTCCTTTCAAGCAAAGAATCGGCACTCAAAATCTAATATTTGACACCAAGAAAAACATGAAACGCAAAATAAAGGCAAAGACAATTCCAAATAATACCTGAAATACCATTTAACACCGAACCGAAATTCAAATGAAGGCCGCTAGGTAAAAGTTCAATCAAAATAAACAGAGCTGATGATCTCACAAGAACATGGCATTAATCACTCAAACGATACATCAAACTCTCCGAGAAAACTCTTCTGGAACTCTCAAGAACTTTATTCCACGAACGAGACAGTTCGGGCTCTACATTTACGATGATGCATCAATAAAATCACATCTCATCGCAGTTGAACACCCCCTTCAAGGGCAACAGCATTAGCCTTTTGTTAATCAAAGTGTAATTCGTGCTTTCCTGTTCTTTTGGCTGGAACTTAAAGCAGTGCTCTTCTGCTACTAAACTGCCAACTAAACAGCCATAAAAATCTCTGCAGTGAAGCGAAATAACGCCAGAGACAGACTGGTAGACTGCTAGACTGGCAGACTGAGAGAAAAAGAAACTTTCTTAACCACTCAAAGCACCACAAATCACTTTAAACTGTAAGGACAAACTTGAAGGAGTCACAAGATAAAGATAAAGACTGAACAGGAGCCAGAGACAGAGCCAGAGCCACCACCCATCCACCTTTCCACCTGTGGGCTGGGGTCTGGGCTTGGGGGTAAGCTATTAAATCTCTCTCTCTCTGTAGGTTGCGACGAAATCGTATATCTGTAAGATATACAATCACTTAAATCGTTGAGCGGGCTAATCCAGCAGCAGACTGCCAGCTCCTCGCGTTTCAAATACCAAATATCGGTTTACAGGCAGTCGTCGAAGGCAACAAATCAATAATCACAAAAAAACCTCAAAAGAAAAGGAACGAAAGGAGAGGAAAGCGAATCAACACACACACACACACACAGGAAAAACCCCCTGAAGGCATATCAAATTTTTGCTTTATTTATTTTTTTTTTTGTTCGCCGCCCTATGCCCATGATTGACAGGACATTCGGGGGGGCCGGGGGCGAAAAGTTTCCTCCTTTGAGGAGTTTCCTTTTCTTTTGGGCCATTCTTTCACTGATTTTGGCTTTTACTTTCGATTTGGCTTTTGTATTTTGTGTGTATTTGCGCTGATTAGCACAGGGCGGGGCGGGGGTGGGTGGCAAAAGGGGGCCAAATGTTGTCATCATTGACTGCCTGCTTCCGTTTCGGTCTCTCGCTCTAATCTCTAGGGTTTCCAGGGCAACAGAGAGAGAGAGAGAGAGAGAGGGAGGGAGAGGGAGGGAATGAGTCCTTGCAAATATTCTTCTTTTGTTTATTAACAATTTCATTCGAAAAACAGGAAACTAAAAACAAGAAACATTGAACAGTAAATATAAATTTAAACAGAAACAGAAACTAGAATTGGGGGAAACGCATTGTCGGGGGTGGATGGGAGGGCTGGAACTAATCCTAGAATTAGTTAAACATCTTCTCCAGCATTTTGCCAAGTTTTTCCTGGGCATAGCGTATCTTTGGGTAGACATCTTTGGACACACCTTTCTCCGCGATGGTCGAGAAGCGATATGTGCGAAAGTTCTTCTCGCGATCGATGTACGTGATGGCACTCTGACGCGGGCACAGAATGAGCTTCATGTGATCCGAGAAATTGATCTGAAATGAGGAATACTTTTGGGGTAAAGGCCTCAAAAGGGAGAGCTATATTTGGGTGCGGGGCTACCTGTACGGTGCCGTTGGTCAGATGCATGACCACGGCACAGGTTGTGCGGAACCAGCTGTGCAAATGGGGCAGACGCGACACCTGGTCACTCTCGATGTTCACATTGTGGGCACCAGCCATCGCGAGATTCTCGATCATGTAGCGCTGAAAGTGGGACAGCAGCTTCATCTTCTTTTCCAGGGTCTTGCAGTAATCGGTGGTGGTCATGTAGCTCTCCTTGCCGTCCTTGTCGATGAAGTGGACGTTGATTTGATTGGGATGCAGAATCAGTTTGGTTGTGTCGATGAACATAATGCCAATGCCCTCGTCGCAGAGCTGATAGCCGAAGCCGTACTTGTCGCTGTAGTCGACCCACTTGGATATCCATAAGAGCGGCTGTGCCGCAGGATCGGTATTCTCGTCCCCGAGATTGCCTGGCAGTTGGCACGGCTGTGGGCACGCGATGATTACCACAATACCTTAAACGGAAGCAAGTACAAACCTTGTTTTCAATCAGATGGGTGAGCTGCTGGTGCAAGCTCTCAAGGTCGCCGCGGAAGTCCTCGCTGTGGCGGCACATCTGGGACGAGGCAGTGATGGTGTCGTGCAGGCTGCCCTTCAGGAGTGCCGACTGCTCAATACCGTTCATCTGCATCAGCGGCAGGCGATGAAGGGGGTCTTCGACGAAGGCAATGCGCGGAGCCATGGTCAGGCAAGAGATTGGCAAGAACGTGGGCACCCTCGAGACCTTCAGGAATTCGTAGTTCAGCAGCTGGCCAATGGCTGGCCGGCAGCTGGGGTCCGGCTGGAGCATGGCCATCACCATATCCGCAGCGGGCTTTCTCATGTAGCTGGGCACGCGGTACTCGCACTTCTTGATCCTTGAGTAAGTGTTCCTCAGCGATTTGGTCTCGAACGGGGGCTGGCCCACCAACAGCGTGTACATGACGCAGCCAATCGACCAAATGTCCACCTCGAACGAGTGCCCCTGCTTGTTGAGGATCTCGGGGGCAATGTAGTTGGGGGTGCCGCACATAGTCTTCTTGCGTTCGCCCTCGTATGCGATGAGTGTGGCCAGGCCAAAGTCGCCAATCTTCACGTGCAGCATATCGTCCAGGAAGAGGTTTCCCAGCTTCAGGTCGCGATGGATGATGTGCTTGTCGTGCAGATACTTGACGCCCTGGACGATCTGGTAAATGTAGTAGCGGCACTCGTACTCCGTGATGCATCCACGGCGCTTGTGCAGCTCCATCAGCGACTGAGTGGCCAAAAAGGCCCAAAAGGGTTGTCATCCATTATGCTATGCTGGATTCTCGGCGTACTTACCCGCTTCTTGCACAGCTCCAGGACAATGTATATGTTCTGGACATCCTCGAAATAGCTGTGGAACTTTACTATGTTCGGATGATCGAGATCACGGTGAATGGTGATCTCCTGGGCGGTCTTCTCCTTCTGTTGGTGCTTGATAATCAGCTTCTTTGATACGATTTTGCCGGCAAAAACATCGTCGGTCTCCACATCCATGATTTCGTAGCACTTGGCAAAGCCGCCCTTACCAAAGAACCGCAAACGCTTGTAAGTCCGGCGTAGATTCGAGTCGTACAGACAATACGGTATATCTGTGTTTATATCCTCCGGTTTTTCGGCCATTTTGCCTTGTCGTTCACTCGCTACGTCCCGACGAAACCGCTTAAAAGATCAATGCCAATGATCACTCGCAGACTATGACTATGCCTATGCCCACCGACACACAGTTGCTCACAGTTCACAAGTTCACGAAAAATAGCTACAAAAACGCTCCGAAAACCGTACGATATAAATGCCTATGTACGTGTTGTGGCTATTGAAACAACACTGGACGACTAGCCTCCTCTGACGACACACAACAAAATAATCATAACAAAAGCCAACTCGATGGGGGGGGGAGTCTGCCCCAGAGGGTGTGCGTTCAACGAACGTTGTACGGGTAATATTTTTGTCAATAGCCTCCGCCAACAATTGAATGGAAATGGTAAGGAGAGAACCAGGGAGAGAGCGGAACAGCAGAGCCCATAAATAAGCAAATAAAACGTAATAACTAAGTGAAAATGTGGAAAATGTGTTGTTTGGTTCCGGGACGCAGGAGGGGGACGGGGGGTGTCGGTCTCCCCCACTTTAATGTCCCCCTGGAGTGCAGCAAGGACTAAATGGAAATGTTCAAGTAGATCCCTGTGAATGGGCCAAAGGATAATGAAACGTTCTGCCAGAAAACATCAAAAGTGGCTTAGAATTTGGTGAACCAAAGAGGGGGGCAACTGTTGAGTTGGTCGTAGGATGAATTATGAAGCAGAAGTTACGGAAATTACCAAGAAATGGTTAGTTTTTGGATGATCTTTGAGCACATTGGGGAGTAGAACAGATAATCGGATTCTAATTCCAGAGAAAGATGAGAGAGATTCTACCAAAGGCTGTGTATTCTCCGGACCGAAAAGTAAGTCTCGCCAAAGACTGTGTATTTTGCTATTGGATGCTGTGGACCGACTTCGCTGCCCAAGGCATTGACGAGCCGAGGCGAAGCTGTGTAAGCTTCGTGGCCGCCGTCAGAGGTGAAGGATAGCCTTCGGTAGCCTTCGTACCTTCGCGCGTCATGCAGTAGCACTCCTCAGTCGTCTTGCATTTCTGTCCGACTTTGACGGAGCCCTTCGAAGGCCCCTCAAGGCGATTAAATCACTCCGAATGGTAATCTCTTTGGGGTATTTCTCTACCCTCCTTTTCTCCCTGTGGCTAGAATACTTACCCAGATCCTAGAACGTTTCCATCGATTATAGACCAATTAAGAAGGGCAAAAGCAAACAAATATTCGAATTTCTGTTGGAAATCATAGGACGGAGGGGGCTGCTGTCAATCCTGCTGGTAATATTTTGCACAGCTTGGCAATTCCCCAATCATTTCCGATGATCCTTTCCCCCATACATATATTTCCGTGCAAAAACAAAAACAAACAGAAACCGTATCCAACCTTTTGCCACTTATCCTCGAACCGCTTTGAACTCCTGAAACTGGTGAATATTTTATTCATGGAAACCAAATCTATTCCGAGCTGAGAGCTGGGCTTCCAGCTAGTTAGCTATGCCATCTGCCACGCCCTCGGAAACTACTTAGCAGCGGTGTGGCACACACACACACACACACACACACGGGGAATATATGTGGCACCATTCCACCAGAGTACGACTATATTCCGCCCTGATAAGTTGCAATGCATTTTCTTCTTGCATTTACCCCCCCCAGCTCCAGCTCCACCCCTGCCTGCCCCTCCCTGATTCTGATTCAGATTCTGTTTCTGTTTTTTCCTCCTGTCATCGGTGGAGGGGTGATGGGGGGCGGGGGAGCTGTGTGCTATCTGCAGAGCGCCACGCTGCCAGAGAGCTAAACAATGAAGAACTAATCCGCAGAGTATACAAAAGAATAGCTATAAAACTGTTCAGTGTTCTCTCCACCATTCTGTGAGTGGGTGTTGGGGATCTCTCTCTCTCTGTGCGGTGTGTGCGGGGGGGCGAGGGGGGAAGGCATATGTGTTGGTATAAGGCCACTTTATGGCTGCCCTTTTGCAACAATTGCAGGGCGCCGGGGCGCCGGGGCGCCGGGGCTGGGCTGCATTCAATCAACAAACTTTTTAAAGCGCAGTTACAAAACTCAAACATAAGAATGGAGCCGGGCAGGGGCCACAGTAAAGCAAAGAAAACATGCAAGAAAAGATACGATGCGAAGGTGCCAGATGTAGATACTCTTGGGTGGAATTTCCCTGAACTGATGTTGGAAATAATATTAATTTACCTGAATTGATGATCGAAACTATAAGAAACAGCAGAATCTTTGAGTTTTATTCATATATCTTCGGAGACAGGAAGTTTATTCTTACAACCACTCATTTTAAGAGCGATTATTCAGTTACTTGTTAAAGTATCTTCCTTATATTTGCTTAAAACCTTTTGAAATTTCAATTTACATTATTTTATCCTCATCAAATTTGCTTTCTTTAAAAGATTATACGATCGAGATAGCCTTTTAGAGGCATATCGCTCAGATGGATTCATTCTATAAATCTTAAATCTTAAGGAACATTTATAGGTTTTCTTATCTTATTTTTGATGTGTATCCCATGGGATTTATTACAGATTTTCGTTGAAAGTTTCACAAAATATACCATCTTTAGAAATAAACCATGAGTGCTAGTATCTGCATCGATTATCCTTCATTCCCTGCCAAAAATTACAAGATATAATAGAATTAGAGCTCTAAATCTGGTATTTTGACTATTTTTGGAAAAAAAGATCGTCAAAATTTACTTGGTTACCAACGAAGAAACCATATTCTCTATAAAAGATACAAATATATCATTTGATAAACTAGGAAGCAAGTCCCCCTGCACACTCGCTTTACTCTTGCGGCAACCCCCGGCTCACTAGCTATGCTCGCTCGCGCAGATATGAGTAAAAAATGTTGACAAAATCTTAGATGTTTCAACCACAGAGGAACCCTCCGACTAGACTATCTGTATCTCCCATAAATGCTCCCTCTGGCTGCCCTACAAACATCATGTCCCTATCGTAATACCCTTTTTGTTTGAGGGCGTATCAAAAAGATAGTGAATAGAGTGGGGAAAAAGTAGAACAGAACATTGTGAAAGATACTACGTGATGGCTGTGGCTGGACGAGAAATTGCACAACAGACAGGAACCTCAACAACAAGAGCGACAACAGCGACAGCGACGGCGACAGCGACAGCAGCAGCGACGGCAGCAGAGCAGGAACAAGAGAAGCAGCGGCGGCAGCGTTTAATTATGACAATCAATACTCCCACAGATACTTACACACACACACACACGTACACACCCACACACATGAAAGATTTTATTGCTGATGTGCTCATTGCTCATCTGTGGAGCTGTGGAGCTGTGGGACCTCGGACTAGTGCAAATAAAACTTGATTAAATTCCATTGGCGGTTCCAATTTCGCACGGGTTGAGGGTCCCTCCCTCCGCCCCTGAGAATGGGGGGTGCGGAGCTCCCCAGCGTTGACCAGAAGGGACGACACATAGAATCCGAGCCACAGCTTCTGTGGAGACGGATGGATGGATGGCTGGCTGGCTGGAGGGGCTGGAGGACTGGAGGACTGGCGTGGCAAAGGATGGACACACATGTCGTATAGCCGTAGCCGCCCTGGCTGTGGCGCATATTACAACAATCAAACATAACCTAATTAGACGCTGTTGTTGTTGTCGTTGCTTCCCCCCCTTCTTTATGGGGGTTTCATGAACTTCGGGGGCAAATTAAGGTTATGCAAACTAGCTGTTGGAAAAAACACTTGGATTAATGAGAGGACTCACAGCGAGGGTCCACACAAAAGATTGACCACAATATTCTGCCAAAGGAGAGCAAGTGGTAATTTGTTTACGTTGTTATAACCAGCCAGGAAGGGCCTTCTGACAGGGGATTGTGGCAGACTTAAGGGCAGGGAGATTAGTTTTTAAAGGAAGAAAGCCCTATCTCAAGGGCAGTATTCGTACTGCAACCCTGCCTGAAAGGGCAATCGTTGGAATCAGCGATTCAGCTTTCTTAAAACTTTGAATCGCTCGCCAGAAACAGACAAAGAAAAGCGAAACAGGTCTCGTCCTTTTTACTGCGTTGGATCATCAAATTTCGGTTTTATTTTCTCGCTCACTTTTGATTTGATTTCCTGGTAGAGAGAACGAGAAAGCAACACCCACATTTGATAGTTTTTTGCTTGTTAAAACGTTTTTTTGTGTGTAGTCAAACCGTTTTCTTAGTTTACACTGAAAGAAATTAATAGTGAGCCATTTCAGACCTCAGCTGATATTAATCCGCAGGTCTCGGATGATTTTAGCCTGTGGATTCTGGCAGGGCTCTGCAATGGATGACTTTGGTGGGCATTGGACCCCCCTCCTCCTCCTCCTCCTCCTCCTCCTGCTCCTCCTCCTCCTCATCCCCTGTTAATACTCTGAAATACTTATTCCACATTGTTACCTCTCTGTGGGGCAATCCACCGGCTAAAGGCTTTCCCTACTAATTGAAAATTCCTCTAAATATCCTCGCTCGAGTTCCATGACTATCCGATGGCATTTAATTGAGTATTGCAGGACACATAATAACTGTGTTTAATCAAATATTAATTTGCATACATATAGATACATGTATGTCGATGAGTGGGTAATATATTGGTATCCATAAAGCTTTGAGGATTCTTTGTTCTGGGAGGACTGTTGTAGCCGCAGTTGCAGTTGCAGTTGCAGGTCTCCTCCGTGCAGGTGGCCGTAATTACAAGGCCACAAGTGTGTCTGGCTGTGTGTGCTCGTGTATGCCTCTCTTTCTGTGTGCCTGCCACAGCTCTCTGGCAGCTCTCTATCCTGTGGGTTTTTGTGCTGTGTTTGCACTGCCTTCAATTAACATGTGCGGTGCTACGCACTTTCTTTGACCCTGCCCCACGCACACATTCATCAAGTGTATTTGCACTGCATTAATATGAGTGTGTGTGGGCGTCTGTGTCTGTGTGTGTGTGTGTGTGTGTGGGGGAATCTGTGAAGTGGACGACAATCAAGCACACACTCAAAGATTAATCCTGACACTCACTTGCAAACTAATTACATGGCTCTTAGGCAACGCCCGCCGCCCGCCCGCCCCCCGACCCATGAGACCCCCCTACCAAAAAGCCTCCAATAAGCCAACATACATTGTATATGCCAGAGAACGAGAGACTATAATAAGACTGTGCCCTGAATGCCACATGTTGTAAACATCAATTGAATGCAACATTTGATTGGC